TGCGGTGCTGAGATGCGGTGCTGAGATGCGGTGCTGAGGTGCGGTGCTGAGATGCGGTGCTGAGGTGCGGTGCGGGTGGGCGATGCCGGGACATTTCTGTGCGGGGCGCGGTGCTGGGGCTGTGCTGGGACGATGCGGTGCTGCGATGCGGTGCAGGGGTGCGGGGCGCGGTGCTGAGCGCTGTCCCTGGCGCAGGCTGGTGCACTCGGGGCCGGCGAAGGGCTCGGCGCTGTACGAGGCCGAGCGCTCGTTCGCGCTGCGCGCCGGCAGCCGGCTGGGCGTGCAGACCCACCTCTTCAGCCTGGAGAGCCCCCGGGAGCTCGCCCTGTGGACCCGGCTGCTGGTGGACGGCACCCACGGCGCCGCAGAGCTGGCCCAGGAGGTGTCGGCAGGTCAGCGGGGGGCCAGGGGGGGCCGGGCGGTGCGGGGGGACCCCCGGCTCACCCCTGTCCCCTCCCCGTCCCCAGCCTGCACGTGGAAGGGGCAGGAGTGCACCCTGACCGTCCACATCGACAAGGGCTTCACCATCTCCACCACGGAGCCCGGGCTCAGCAGGACCATCCTGCTCCAGCAGCCCTTCGAGAAGCTGCAGATGTCCTCGGATGACGGCACCAAGATGCTCTACCTGGACTTTGGTGGCCCAGAGGGAGAGATCGTGAGTTGGCTTTGCCTTCAGCACCCCCCACCCACACTCCCACCAGTCCCAGGGGAGAGGGGGAGCAAAGAACCCGCCCTGTGCACAGCACCCATCCTGCCTGGCATGGGGGTGAGGCATGGCCCATCCTTCTGCCCCAGCTCTTCCCAGGGCCCCAGGGTAAGGCTGTGGTAGAGACTGGGGGGTCTGGGTGGTCCCTGGCTGAAAGCTGCTCCAGGAACAGCCTTCCCCTTTGTGAACACCCCTCCCTTCCTTTCTTGCAGCAATTGGACCTTCACTCCTGCCCCAAAACCATCGTCTTCATCATCCACTCCTTCCTCTCAGCCAAGGTGACCCGGCTGGGGCTGCTGGCATGACGAGGGAGCAGAGCAGCCCGAACCCCCGGCCTATCTATGCACCTCCCTCCTGGCCAAACCCAGCCCCAAGCCATCCCAAGGAGACTGGAGCCCCTGTGGGATCACACCACCCCCACCAAGGAAAAGCACCATCTGCTGGGAAAACCCCCTCCTGGGGTGTCTGGGTGAAATCCCCCTTGGATGGCAGCACTGGGACTTCTCCGGTCCCTCCTTCCCCTCCTTCCTAAGCAGCTGCAGAAGCCCAGTGAGAGCCCACGAGTGGCAGCAGGGCCGTCACCCCAGTGCCTTGAGAGATGATATTTTGTGTACAAAGAACCCGTTTGTATCCACGTTTTATATTTATATCGCCCACTTAAAAACGCTGACACGGCAGCTCTTCCCTCACCTGGCTCGGATTCCCCCGGAGAGTCCCCAGGTCCCGCAGCACAAGGACAGGAGTCTGTTTTCCAGACAAGCAGCCTGAGGACTGGAGGCCAAAGCCAGCCCCAAAGTGCTTAAGAGATGGGAACTGCAGATCAGCTGTGTTTGCCAAATTTCCCCATGTTGTACGAAATGATAGGAACCACTTTTGTGTGTCGGGGTTGGACAGCGCGTTCGGTTTTGCTCACTCCAGAGTCACTTTATTTCTCGGTTTGGGGGGGAGGGTTTGTCAGGTGGCTGCTGCAGAATAACTTCTTCTATGAACCAAAAGATTCTGCATGAAAATGCCTTTTTTTTTTTTTTTTTGGGTTGAATAAACCTTGCAGATCACAACCAGCAGGAACCAAGATCCATCTCCTGATTTCACTTGGAGAAGCAGAAAGTCAGTTTGTGGACGATGCCTGGGCTTGGGGTGTTTTCCACCAGGGAAAGGAAGGAGTTTGTGTGGAGGCTGTGGGGCTTTGCTGTGAGCTGGTGGTGCTGGTCTGGGAGTGCTGGGGACACTATGGGAGGATTCAGGTGGGAATAAACAGGTTGCTCATCTAGCCTGACCTTGAACACTTCCAGGGATGGGACGTCCACAGCTACTCTGGGCAACCTGTGCCAGGGCCTCACCACCCTCACAGGGAAGAAGAAGCACAAGAACATCTTATTTGGTGTAAGGAAATAGTTCTTATGGGGTGCATCAGGACTTGGGTGCTCAGCTCTCTGTGGGACAGGGTGATGGAGAGGAAGGGGATGTCCCAGCACAGCCCCATGCCTGGCAGCAGGAATCTTTTGTGATGAACAAGCCTGTACTTTTTATTGCCCAGAACTGTCAGATTTCCAGGTGACCTCACAAAATGGATTTGCAGGAGGAAAAAAAAAAGATCTCCCCTCACGTTTCTAACTGTTAAATCAATACAAGTAATTTAGAAACAGATGGTGTATTTTCTATGATCAAAAGCATGTCTGCACAAGGAAACACATTATTACTGCAATTTGCCTTCCTCTTCTTGCCCTAGAGTCATTACTCTTTGGGGTTCATTGCAATAAAAGAGAGAATCACTCCCAGTCCAGAGCAGATTTCCTATTAATCTTACAGACCACAAGCTGCCTTGACTTTCCCAGTGCAGCTCAGGCTCTGTCCCACTCCATGCCTGGACTGTGAAGGAAATAGCTCAGTTAGGAGATGGATATTTTTCTTGGATTTCTTTGCATTTGATATTGGTGATGGTGTGAGGACTTTTTCCCCTCCTATATTTTTGGTGGTTTCTGAGCCTCTTCATCCTTCTGGCACCATCCTCTGCTTAATGGGACCCTTTCCCCAGGGATGCTCCTGCAAATGGACCTGTGTATAAGACAACTGGCACCTGGAGGAGTGAGTGCTCCTGCTTGGGCCCACCACAGTATTCCCCAGAGAGGAGGAACAACTCCTCAGGGTTTTGTTCTGCCAGGCACTTTTATGGCAGAAGGACTAATATTTTTGAAAGCAGCTTTCAAATAAACCTAATGAACTCTGCTTATAGAACTGGGATGATGAGAATGGGCTCAGGAAAAAGCAATTTCCTCAGCTTGGTCTGAGGCGACTGGAGTTTTATTTGGCCACCATGACTGGAACAACTCAGGGAAGGGGGAATTTAAGGGTGCTGCAAGTGCTGGAAAATGGATGGCAAATGGGAAAGGAGGAGGGAAAAAGTCCTATTCTGCTCTCTAAATGGAGCTCTTGGGATGCTGGTTGCCAGAGGGAGGCCAAAATGGGGATGTGAATGGATGCAGAGAAACTCTGGCACCCAAAGCCCTTCGGTGCCACCCATGGAGAGAAGTGGGTGATGGCAGTGGGGGGGTGGCTGCAGCCTGGCTCTGGTGCAATCCCTTCCCCTTTGGGAGCAAATCCAGCCAGGCCATGGCAAGGTGAGCTCTCTGTTTCCTCCAGGAGGAAACCCAGCACTGCCGTCACCCCCAGCAGCAACGTCACAAGCAGGGATTTTCCCCAGAAATGGCTTTTCCAGGTTGTAAGACCTGAAAAAAACAGCCCTGAGTGAAGGAGCCGGAGAGGGAAGAGAGAGATGCAGCAGGAAGAGTGATTAGGTTGTCCCCAGGTGTTTGCTCAGCCACGGCAGAACACAGTTTCCCTCCTGATACCGCTTGTACTTTCCATTAGTCAGCCCTGACCTTTCAGTGCCGTAATCAAACAAGACAACCCAACACTTAAATCTGAGCGTTTAGTGCTGACATTTACAATTGGTTCTCAAGTTGGAGAGACCAAATGAAAATTTCCTCGCAGACAGAATGCTGCAGGGCTGGGGAATCAAATCATTCCATCGCTGGATCGCAGGAACGCCGGCCCCCTTGGCCGCCCCGTGCAGTGGGTGGTATTTGGACTAGAGCCTTTCAGTACAAAGTCAATATTCACCTGGAGTTTGTGCATCCCGGGGAATCACCTGACTGGGGCACGAGGAAGCTGTATTTGGTGTTTAATGGGTGTAAACAGGAGTGATCTTACACAGACAGGAGCCCTGTGGGAGCAGGGAAGCTGCGTCAAAAGTTAAGGATCTAAAGCAGTAATGAGGATGTTTTCTCTCGTTCAGCCTCGGCTGGAATCCTTGCCTGAAAAGCGAGCACTTGGTTCATCCCTTGGTGCACTCTGTGGCATATTCCTTGGTGCATCCTGTGGCACATCCCTTGGCACATCCCTCTGTGCATCCCTGGACACATCCTGTGGCACATTCCTTCATGCATCTCTTGGGGCATCCCTCGGTGCATCCCTCTGCCATTCCTCAGTGCATAACTTGGTTCACCTCTCAGTGTATCCCTTGGTTCACCTCTCAGTGCATCCCTCAGTGCATCCCTTGGCACATCCCTTGGTGCCTCCATAGACACGTGCCCTGCAGTGGCAGCTTGGCTGTGCCACCCCTGTGCAAATCCCTGTACAAGGATGGGCTTTTCCAACCTTGTCTCTGAGGGATCCAAGCCCTGAGTATTTACTGGTGTTTGCCTGGTGAGGATATAGGGCTGGTGGGATACTGGGAGCCAGAACACCCATGGCAGCCCTCAGGTCCTGCACCCATCCCACTGTGGCTCCCCCAGCTCATCCTCACACAGCGGTGCCTGTGTCTTCTCCTCCCGTGTGATAAATTCCCACTGGAGCCACTTGATTGAGTTAAATCCATTAAGAAAAAGTCTGGACAAGGTTTCCCACGTTCACCATGTTCAGTGTTCCTCCTGCCTCCTCCAAAGAGCAGCCAAAGCAGATGGGCTGCAAACCAGGACAGCACAGCTTCCTCTTCCCATTCCCATAAATAGGCTTAAACAGTCCAAAATACTCTAAATCAGGACTCTTTTCTTCCTTTGCTAATACGAGGTTTGAATAAATTAATATATTGTTTAAATTACAGAAAACAGAGCTTCAGCTGTCCCAAATACTTGTTGTTGCTGTATTTTCCCAGCACTGCTCCATGTGCTGCTTTCCTGAAGGACCTCCTGTGTGGGGACATCCCATTGTGATTTGACATGAGAACTGGGATCAGCATTTGTGTCTGCAGCTACAGATTCCTGGTGCTGTCCTGTGCAGGGCCAGGATCTGGACTCAGTGATCTTTGTGGGTTCCTTCCAACTCAGGATATTCTATGATTCTGTGAAAAAGCAATATATACATATATTTATATATATTTAAATGCTTATTTCTCACTTTTATCAAACTGCACCTAAAAATTGCACTTTAAATGTGGTTAGCTCTCACATGTGGGGTGGTGCTTGGGGCATCCAAACACACCATCCTGCTCCATGGGTGCTGCTGGAGGCCAGGGATGGGAGGCAAGGATGTGCCTCCAGCCTGCAGGGTCCTCATTGCTGCATCCTGATAATGAATAATTTCCTCTGTGCCTGCTGGGCTGCTGCTTTCTCCCATGCTCCTCCTCCTTACACTCCTTATGGAAAATACTTGTTCCTCCTTCCCTGGTCCCCGGTGCTGGGTGCTGTGCCAGGTGCTGAGTCCCCTTCCAGCCACCTCCTGTGCCATCTCCATGGGAACAGAGTGTGGAATGACACAGATGAGGGAGAAATGAGCTGTGGGTCACCACCCCCTTCTCCCCTTGGTCAGAGGTAAATCAAACTGGGGGGGATGTTTGAACTGTGATGTTCTCAGGGAGAATCTCTCCCAAAACCCCTCGGGGCAGCTGCTGGTGGAAGTTTTCAGCCACATTCTTGGGTGGGAATCTGCTTGTCTGGGGAGTGGGGACAGAGCTGGTTGGTGTGGGAAGGGAAATGCTGTGCCCAGGTGAGATCCTCTAGTTCATCTGGAGCTTTTCCTGCATCTCTTTGAGCACCACTGGGCCATCCCTTCACCTCTCTGTGCCTCTGTTTCTGGCAGCACCACAAGGTGTAGCTGGGAATATAAACACCTTTTACCTGGTTTCCCACCCCCCCGTTTCTCCATGGGGCTGGGCCCTACTTCCCTTTCCCAGCTGCTCTTTCCCTGCCATCACACATTCTCCAGGAGCTTGACATCACTTCCCAGGATGCTCCTATGTGCTCCAGCTGCAGGTGAAGGGGCTCTGAGCCTCCTTTCCCTCCCTGCTGGCATCACCTGGGCATTCCTGTGTCCCAGCCACTGCACAGAGGTTCTTCCAGCAGCCTCCTGAGCCCTCCAGGATGAACCACCATGATGTACCTCCTCGTTTTCATCCTCCCCCATCTCTTTGCTGTCTCTGGGGGCTGTGGATGCTGCAGAGACCCGGGTGGTGGGCGATGCCTGAGGAGATGCCCAGTCTGGGCACAGGGGGTCCCTTGCATGGCTGCTGGTTGTGCCTCATGGAGGGTGAGGGGCTTCACTGGGGCTTGGGGACACCACCTAAACCACCTCCCGCTCAGCTCTAACCTGTGAACCCAATCTGCATCAGCATCTGCTCGTGCGAGTTCATATAAACTGTTAAATCCACTTGGCACCTCACTGCAGCCATTGCCTTTTAAAACTTCAGTAGCAAACCTCTTGCCTTGTTGTGGGCAAATCTTGGAGGTTTTCTGGAGTATTTGCTGTTTTGGGAGTTTCTGTGTGGCGTTGGTCTGCTTTCCCTCATTTCTACTATTTCTAGTTAAAAACAGAAAAACAAAAAAAGGCAGGAGTGCAGGGAAAGGGGAGCAAATGGGTCTCATGCAGCACCTCTGGTCCTGATAGGACAGAGAGAAATGAGCCCACTGGTGATGCCTTGATCATCATCCTCCCCATGAAACAAGGAGGCAGTGGTGTGGATGCTGTCCCTGAAAACACAGGACAAATTCAGCACAAAGCCAGAGTTTTTCACCCCAGCTCTGCCACTCACCTGCTTCGGGAGCAGGGATGGGCTGGCTCAGCCTCAGTCTCCCTTTCTGTACAACAGGTCCATTCCTGCTCCCTCCCAGTGTGTGTTGACAGCAGAATCAGAGCACAGTCCTTCACCATTAAGTATCCCAAGGCATGAAAAGCTCTGAAAAAGTTCCTGTAATGTCTCTGTGGATATGTGATCCCTTTCCAAATGTAAATGTTACAGCACTCGCCTGTAAGGAAATGCTGGAGTAAAAAGCTGATTTGTTTTATCTATCTATCTATCTATCTATCTATCTATCTATCTATCTATCTATCTATCTATCTATCTATCTATCTACCCAGCCATCCATATCTCAATTTAATATATCCATTTCCTTTACCTCTGTGTGTTCTCAAATAGATGAGGTTTCAAGAGGCTCAGGACTGGAAGGCAGCTCAATTGACAACCAGAATATAAAGGTTTGTTTTACAGCAACAGGATGGAAAACCACAGAAAATTGGACTTGGTTTTATAACACTCATTCAAGAGTCCTGAACTCAAAACTGGGATTTAATGTATGATGTGGTGAGATAAAGATGAGACCCTTTCAGAGTTCCCATGTTTTTGTTATACTATATATATTATGAATGCTGCACAGTAGATTTTTTCTGCCCCAAAGAAACTCCTTCTGAAAGCAGAAGGTTGTTTCTGAAGGCTTTGCTGTACTGGTGACATATTCATACACAATATAAATGACCTGTTGTTTCAGAAGACAATAATGGGAGTAAACATCAAATTAAAAAGAAAGAAAATCAAATCACATAGATCAGGAAAAATAGCGGAGTTTCCAACACCCAGAAAGCTCCTGCTCCAGCAAAGGGCACGTAGCCATAGCAACAGGAGCCCTCACTGTCACGATAATAAAAAAATATATTATTCTAGGAGAGCTCTTAAAAGGGAAATATAGATTTCA